GTGTATCTATTAAGGCCCAGAAATATACTGCCACAGGCAGTAGTTGCCCCAGGTCTTGGAGCTTTGGCATCCCCAGGATCACCAAGTCCCTCCCCACCACAGTGAGCCTTAGAGTACTTCCCTCTTACCCACATATCCTGGGGTCCCACAGGCTGTGCCTAGCATGTTGCCAGCTTGTATTTTCGACAGGCCAAAGTCAGAGACCATGATCTTGGAGTCCTCAAAGGGTGTGGCATAGAGGAGGTTTTCAGGCTGTTGAAACATTGGGGCCAAGGGAAGAAACTATGAGTCCAGAATGGTTTGGGCATTGGGACAGGGTGGACCTCAGCACCCTTAATTATGCCAGACACAGACTGAAGTAGATGCTGGGAAAGAAGACACTCAGGGCCAGAGGTAGGTGAGATGAGGGGGGAGCACAGCCAGGCACCTTAAGGTCCCGGTGCACAATGCCCAGGCTATGAAGATAGGAGACAGCACCAAGGACCTGCCCTACAAGGTGACTGGCATCCTTCTCTGTGTAGGAGCCCCAGTCCATGATGCGATCGAACAGTTCACCACCTGTCACCCTGGGGGCAGGAGGAATGAGGCAACTAGTCAACTGACCCAGGCATGGATCTGGGCACTGTACCCTTTCTACCCACCCTCCCAGCAGCCCTCCTCACAGCTCCATGGCCAAGTAGAGGTGAGAAGGGCTTTCATGAACATCTTCCAGAGCCACAATGTTGGGGTGGCTGATCCTGAAACAGAGAGAAAGGGCTCCTTGTGGACCACTGCAGCCTCTTCATCTGGAAGAGCTCTGTCCTGAGCCTCCTGTCTTTTCTTTTTTCACCTGGGCTCCCATTCCCTACCAATTCCTGCCCCCACTAGCCCAGGCCTTTCTAGAACACACTTCTGTAGGCCATTTATAAAACACAGATGGATAGGGTGACTCTAATGTCACCATGGAGACATGCAGACTCATGAGAAGAGCGGCCTAAGGGGCCCCCTGCAGATTAGCAACCAGGCCTGGTGAATCCAGAGGACTCAGCCTGTGGCCACAGGTCTTCCCAGCCCAAGGGGCACCTGCGGAGTACCGCGATCTCATTCTCCACCAGAGCCTCCTTGCCACGAAGTGCTTTCTTGGGGATGCACTTGAGAGCCACAAGATGAGCAGAGCCCCTTTCCTGGGCCAGCATCACCTCAGAAAAGGCACCCCTGAGAGATGGTGGGAGGCAAGAAGTAAGGGAGAAAAGCAGAAATGGAGCAGGCCCTCCCTCATACCACCCACCCTAACACACACCCACAAGTGTGCACACACATACATCCCCACACCACCTCACACACATTCACACACACTGACACATTCACCTCCCACACAGTCAACAACATACCTCACAATTCATCACCATGTTCACAATCATACCACACTAACCACTCAAATGCTCCCTCACACATTTGCTCACATGTGCACATGTCTCACATATGGAAGCGGTCACTCCCACAGCCCAGCATGCACACTCACGAGCCCAGCTTCTCCCGGATCTCATAGACACTGCTGATGTCCTCCGTCTGTTTCTTGAGCAGCAGCATGTCTGGGGG